GCGTGTGTGTGTGTGTCACAAACAGAGAAATATTATTACAGGGGGTTAAGGCTATTTAGCACAGTCGAATGTAAATCACAGGTTTAGACACAGTCACTGTGCATATAGGAGGACGAAGGCATAGAGCCATGCATGAAATTACTTCATTAATCTTCCTCTGATAGGCCGTCCTTATTTAGGGGGGGAAACTCTACCTGCTTAAGACAAAGACCCAATCTCTCCACAGCCCCAAATAAATTACTCTCTGCAGAAGAAGATATAAACATAAAAAGACAAACTAGTTCAAGCACACACACGCACACACACACACACAAATAAATTGTCCAATATTAGTGGGCCAAAAAGCTGCAGGCTTATCAGGTGAAGATTTAAACACAATCAGATGTGTCAATGTTTGCAAAGGCTCACAGACACCGCGTAATCGCGGCTCACGGGAACCGTTAAAATAATGATATAACATGTTAATCCAGTTGAAAACGCAACTTCATTTCTGCCGTTCAGGACGCATTCCGAGGCGCACATTTCAAACGGCGCCGCGGAGCGCTGATGTTACTAAAGAAACTTCATTGTTATGACTGTCACACGCTACAGCGGCCGACACAGTCACAGCAATAGCCTCCAGCTTTTTTTACAGGCTCATCTCTACCAGCTGCCACACATTCTCTATAAATAGTGCTGGCAATAAAAAAAAAAAAAAGAAAAGAAAGCGGGTGGGCCTAACTGATTTATACGCTTGTGTCCACCACAACACCATTCAGGAATAATTAAACTTTGGGGAGATTTCCTGAATTAATACGTCGCCTTTAGGAGGGGGAGGTGAAATCTAAACGCATGTCGCAGGTTCAGCAGTCAGTCACTCAGTGTCACCGTTTGAGCCTACTTGGTGCTGTAGGCGAGGTATCAAAACCTACCGCGCTTTACGCACCTGCTGCCCATTTCTTGCTGTCTTTGAAGTCTGAGAGGAAAAATACAATTTTGAAAGGCTCCAATTCATTTAATGACTAAAGCGAATAAAAGAAAATCTACAGCATGCTTCGGAAAGATGCCGTATTTTTGAATGTAACACAAAATTAAGGAATTCAAATTATAATAAGTAATGATTCAAATCATATGAACTCAAATTTGGTATTGTTTTCAATAACCTCAAAAAGGTGAATCTGAATAGAGTTTTACATTTGGTGGACTTAATAAACAGGATTTTTAAAAAAGTCTGATTTTTCAGGATTTTACCTGAGTATCGCCTATCAAAATTAGAGTATTTTTACATATGACTGGTTAATTGCTGTATAATAATAAGACTGCATTTTAATGAAGAGAGGATACACACACCCACTCACGCCCACGCCCACACACACACACACACACACACACACACACATCATCATCATCATAGGATCATAATATATTTGATATTACACAAAGCAACAACACACATGTTCAGAAAGGTTCACAAAATGTCAAGAAAGTCCCAATAAAGCCATAAGATTTTTTTTTTATTACAAATTATGATATAATAAAATTAAATCAGCGAAATTATATTAAAAATCACAATCCAGCCATAATAATCAAATTTAAACTCTGCTGCATGGCAGAGCAGCAGCTGGCAGAATGGGAGCTTTGTTTTAAAATAATCATGAGCCTCTATCAGCAACAGTAAACCCGCAAAGTGGATGTGAAAACAGTAACAAAACAACCAGCTCGTTACTGGTATCAAGGTAAGTTTTAAAGTTACTTTCTCAGGTCAGTTCAATGGTTTAAAGTCTTTTCAATACAATGCCAGAATTCTCTCTCTTAAAGTAGCAGTTGCTGACCCTCCCCCACTTGTTGCTACACAGGGCTCATGAACTGGCTGCAAGAACATTATTATACCAAGGTTTGAAAAATGAGTTTTAAAACTATAAATATTTTTCTTTTTTAGCCTTCCTTAGCTTTCAAGTCCTTTTCGAATCAATGTAGTTTTTGCCGTCTGCATCGAGCTTTGAGTAATTTACTGCTGCTGCTGCACACTGCTAAAAGTATAAGTGTGGCGTTATCTGTTGTAAAGCGCCACTGATCACTTTCATTTTAAATCCAAAGTATGTTGAAGATGTAGGCCAATTCACACACTGTAAAAGTGATTAAAAATGCCACTTTCACAATGCACACACAGTCAGTTCATGCCTTGCCAAGTTTAGTTTTAAAATGACATTAACTTAATGAGAATCATCAGTGGCACTCCTTAAGTTTCAACAACATGACTGTAGGTGTTTACAAGAAAAAGTGAGGAAAAAGTGCAGTAGCTTTCTGTCAGCAAGCTGACCGACAGTGTGCAGCAACAGATGGAGGAGGGGCTGTGTTTTTTCACACAAGACTTTATGAATCCTGACTCCTGCCTTTTTGCTTTCATCGTTTTAAAATTGACTTTGAAACAGTAACTTAGATGGAAAATTTTTTGAAATTTGAAAGCGTATGTTGATGTCGGTAATCTGCCTAGTTTTCAATTAGTTTTTAATTTTGATAAGAACCCATTTGAGTTGTAACTACCTTAAAACCTTCTAGCACAGACATTGAAATAATGGCAACAAACGCCGCGGTAGCTGCAGAGTTTATTGCAGAGGGGACCTGGTGAAGCTGTCAGTGAGAATCAGAGCTGCTGCTGTGACGGACGGTTCCAATATTGATTTCATAAATAAACAAAGCTAACCATCGATCCTAATGTTATTTTGCATTTCAATTACTGCTTTGAAACATAACCTTCAAACAACTGGCTGCTCAATACCAATGGCCTCCACTGATAAACACCCATGTAGTTACTCCACATTACATCACATTTCCTACAGGAACTGCAGAGACAAACACTCTATAAAAGATTTGAGTCTTTACAAGTAACGCAAACTTTACTTATGCAACACCAAAACACTTCATTTGTCACTTTTGTTTTTTGTTTTTTTCTCTTCAGCTTCGGTTCTGCTGTTTGTGCATTTGAATACCTGCACATATGCATGTGTGAGTGACTAAAGAGGAGCCCTTGAGCGTCAGAGCAACAGGAAGAAGTGCTGACGCAACGTGTCAGTGATAGCACTTTGCTGCCACAAGGGCATGAGAGCCCACATAGGCTAGCATTATCCTTTCTAGACTAATGGACCTGGTTATTTTTAAACAGATTCTCACACTGCGGTGGAGGTGTCCAAGGTTACCATGGGCGAGAAATCCGGAGGGGGCGCGTTCAGCAGAGGCTGTTTGTTTCCATGCAGGTGGGTGTTGTGAAATAACCAAAGAAGGAAGGCAGGTAATCGCCAAGAGGTGGAAAGGCCAAATTTAAGATCTGAGGGGGCGGCATGTTATGACAACACTGAGATAATTGTAAAATGAAAGCCAGTTTAAGAAAAAAAAAAAAAAAAAACTGGCTGAATTTATGCTGCATTTGTTAAAGCAACCACTTGACATGACAAGGGGGAAAAGAAAGCCTTCTACCATCATGTTAGCATGAACTTTAAGGCTTCTGAGGCTACAGAAAAGTTGCCAACAACAAACTGCCAAGACACATTAACTATTTTTGTTTTATCCCGAGTTTGGAGTCATTTTTACAGCAAGAATAGGTCATACATCTATGTAACCTTCGGTTCCTGACTTCAGTGCTGTTCAGAGCATGGAGAAACACAGTGTGTCCCCTCCCCCACTTGTTGCTGCACACTTTTGGTCAGCTGGTCGAAAGAGGGCTACTAATATTTCCACTGAGTAAAAGATGGACAATTTCATCAGTTTGGAGATATTTCTGGTGAACTCACTCTTAAAAGGGTAACATTGTTTTGAAAACCACAAGCGAGTTACGTATCAAGATGCAGACTACCTCAGCAGATAGCCCAACTAGTTAGCAAGTAACTAGTTACTCGTTTCTTATGAGGAACAGAACTACAAAAAGTTAAAATGCATCATATTCTGCATTTGAAAGTACTACTAAATTTAGAAATTTAGTGGCTGTTTATGGCATACATGTTTATTTTCTGTGTAAACACTGTTGTAATTCTACTCAGGGTTTTCCTGTCAACCTCATGTCAGTCCATAAATAGCTAAAATCACCTTTAGGTGTTCTGGAAGGTTTTTCTTTTTTAATCAATGACATAAACTGTCTAAGTTAAGAGTGGTTTTATGCTTTTATATAGTTATTTGGCAAACAAAACAAAGTGAGCTATTTTTCAGATCCCTGTAGAATCTAAAATGTAAGTATATCTTAAAAAGCAGATGGGCTTGCAGTGAAGAACATACCTCAAAAATGTGTAGTTAATGAATAGCAGTGTATGCTGTTTCTTTAAGTTGTGAAAGGAAGTCATTCACAACTTAAAAAGTTTGTTTTTTGTAAGTTGTCAAAATACTTTCCATGCTTTTTACATTAAGCAAACTACGAGCGCCATATCAGTTAAGCAGCTCACTGCATGCTGATAGCCTGACTAATTATGAAGAACAGAAAAAGCCACACTCTTCCTCACCCACCTATTGCTGCACACTGCCACTTAGCTGCAAACAGCAAAGATATATTCAGCTGTTTGAAAATAATTTTATTGCTGGTGTGGGAACTAAATATGCCTCATCTCTTCACTTATTTAGGTAATGTTATTAAAAACTATAGCATGTTCACTACGAGTGGCATGTCAAGTCATGTCACTGCTGGCTCTGTCACCGATGGACTAATTAAACCAATATGAACTTGTTATTATTGTGTTGCTCTTTAAAAAGCATGTTTACTTAAAACTTGTTCAATGCTTTTCTTCAAAAGTCTAGGTACGAAAACCAAATTTACAATTAAAAGTTATACTTCCCATTATTTGAATTATATTGGTCAATATGTTAGATCTTTTAGAAGCAGTGGGAATATTTGTTGCCTTTCTGTTTTAGATGAAAACAATTAGACCCCCTTAATTGTGGCTACAGTTTTTGTGAATCTGTGATAATTTGACACTATGTTATCATAGGTTGAGGATCTCCCATGCCTATTTTACAGTAAGAGTAATGATACTAGATACCAGAAATGAGAGGTCTCCAGCGTGGCCATTGGACTCAGGAATCTCTCTAATGATTTGGACAACAAAGCCCTGTTGATACAAGGAAGAAGTATTTAGAATTGGACAACAATCTCAAATTTAAGCACAAAAGAAACATCTGAAATCCTCCTAAAAGCTGCGGGAGATTAAAGCAACAGGTGGACCAGAGGAAGTCCACGGCCTGGCCACAGGGGCCAGCGGCTCCTGGCCTGCAGTGGGGTGGCCATCCTCGTCCAGGAGGCTTTTCTGGTAATGTATTCTGAAACCAAATTACCGTAAGCTGATCCCATCTGGATAGTGTCTGAGCGCGGCTGCTTTGGTTACTCACCACTGCCTCTAACCTGCGATAGCATCTCCATGAAGACAGCAAAAATCTGATTAACCCAATAACAATGAAACACTTGGTCAAAGAGCAAGGAGCTTTTAACTTAAGATACACTAATGCAATTCCCGCGCCTTGTTTTCTGAAACCTAATAAGAATCAAGCGGACGGACCGCCAGAGATGGCTGTTTGCAGGCTCTAATGCAGCAAGCTGGGAATGAAGTCAAATAAATTGAAATCTAATTCATCACTGTGCGCTAACTTCTTTCTGCCTCTCTAAAAATACATTAAAAAGCTCTTATTTCAAGACGGGAAATTGGATAGCCTTGTTAGTTTATTGCAGTGGCTGTGCCAGGGATAAAGGAAAGCGTGGGTGTTGAAAGATGTTTAGGAATGAAAGAAGTAAAATCCCAATTCACTGCTGCTCAATTCTTGTTTTTGTTTTTGTTTTTGGTTTTTTGTTCTTTGTTTTCTTTGGAGCAAGCAGCAAAGAATTCACACTTGCAGCCATGACGGATTTCTGACCAGTGTGAACAACTGCTGCAACGAGCCCGTCACACTCACATGCTCAAAGAAAAAAAAGGAGATATTTACTTTTGACTTAACAGAAACAATAGCACTAAAAAGAATCTTAAATTACCACGGAAAACACACTCAATTGTAAGTATAAACTTGTAATATATGAATGTTTTGTGGAATTTCTATTACAGGCTTTCTACAATTGCATATCAGTGTGTTAAAAAAAAAACAACTTTACTTCAGTCTGATGCCCAGAAAGTGGCGACGCCCTCGAGACAGTCTAAAGTGTTTTATAGAGATTCCACCACAGTAATGTGTAAACTGCAAGGCGCGAAAACCTCCAATAGAGATCATTTACCCCAAGCATCACTTCTACATCCAGCCCCTCAGCGAGAGTTTGAAAACACCAGCGAAAATGAGACACCGCTGAAACAAAATTTGCGCCCAGAGTTGGAGAGGTTTCCCTGATCAGCTGCTCCACAGTGGACAAGTCGTCAGGTCAGAGGTAAGAATTTCCATATGAAACGAGAGGCGTCTTTTCTCATGAAGCGGTGTGAACAGTAAGTCTGATATTCCAACTTGGCTTCAAAAACATTCATTCTTAGGGTGCTTATGGATTACCAGACGTTATATGCAAATTATAAATTTAAAATTTGCATGCTTTATTAAATTAAGCCTTCTTCAATGCCAAAGGAATCATCATAAAAACTATTTCTAATATTTAAAATTTTCTACAATTTCCCCTTTATTTGTGGCACATTTATAAACCTAAAAGAAATTTGCTCCATTTTACAGGTAAAATCTGTCTTATAGATTCTACGCAGATTTTTTTTTTCTTGTTAATTTAACGTCATTCATAATTGGATAAGTTAATTAGCCAACGTTTAACTAAAATAATTTATTTAAATTCAGAATTAAATACTGGTTGTGAGAAAAAAAAAACACATCTCCAAACAAAATTAGTTTTACTGCTTTATTTTTTCCTTAACAACAATAAATACTCATTAAATATTAGTTGGAAACCACATTTGTGGGGAAAAATATTTAAATTAAAAAATAAACCTTGGGGAAAAAAAATGCTGATTTAGTTGTCATTTTATGTTAAAAGGTAAAAAGTTCTGTAACAAACATTAGAAAGCAAAAAGCATTTAAACTTATAAAACGTTAAAGAAATTTTGTGATTCATGTTTAGGTGATGTCATAAAAAAAAAGCAGATTTCAGGAGAAATTTGATGCATTTGCACAGGCATAGAAGGTAAAATAAGCACAAAAACTGCTTCACTGATATGCAACAAAATTATACATTTTAATTAAATACCGGTTTTAAAAATTACTATGTAATTAAAAAGTTATAATAAAAGGCCTCCCAATAATTAACAGAAAGGAGAAAATTAACACACTAAGAAAAGTAAAATCTCTAAACATTTCTGGTGAATCTCATATGTTGCACAAACACGTAGTTTAGCTTCAAGTGTAATAAAAACAAAAAGGTTGCAAAAACCTTATTTTCTCTAGCTCAGTTAAATCATTTTGGTAACTTTCTCTTGAAATAGATTCATATTTTTCACAACCAAAAGCAGTTTATTTAGTCTTAAGTCTTAAGTGTAAGTTACTGGTGGACTGATGAAGTTAGAAAACCAGCGTGTCCCAGCAGCAGCCAGGAGCTGTGAGGAGGTGCAGCTCGCCTGCACAGCGTGCCGCTGCCTGGAACAGACCTATCGGCTCTCTGAGGTTACTCAGGCTTTCCGTTCCTCTTTTCCCAACTCGCAAAATGTACATTTTGCCATGTAGTTCATCCTTTCCAATTCCAAGCATTCACACTAATCTCATCTCCTCACAATATCACTCTCATTCCGCCTGGGCGGACGGCTCGGGCAACAAAGCCATCAGCGAACAAGCTTTTAACCCAACTGGACAGGGGACCCGTACGATTCAGTGGTGCAAAGTAAATCAATCAGGCACGCTCCAAATGAGACTTTTACATTCAAAGACAGATGCTTACAAAATATTATAGACACGTGCACCTGCTTAAGCTTAAGTTGCTGTCAAGCCTAACCTGAATCAATGCACAAAAAAGTGAATATTTACAGAAGTTGGTATGACGAAAAAGAAAAAGCTGCAATTTTAATTACAAAAAGGTTTTTTGTTTTTTTTTTGTTTTTTGTTCGAGAGATGTCAAAAATATAAGATGAACAGTGAACTTAAGTAAGACAAATGGAAAAAGGAAATAAAAGTTCAATGCAACAGCTGGGTTAAACAGAAAAGTGAAAGGTGGAAAAGAGAAACAAGCTGCACCTACTGGTTATGATAGCTGAGAGGGTCTGGAAGACAAAGTTCGGAAATGTCCATCAGTCCAGTTTTAGCATTCCAGGAATGAGAGGAAGAGGAAAGAGAAAACAACTGAGACCCGCTTCTTCCCCAAATGATAGCACAGCACCCTCAGAGACAACGACGCCGCAAAAAGCCCCTCCGGCACCGCGCTGCCCCCCCCAACAGCCTGCACAGGTATGTCGGGCTCTGATGAACCGAGAGTGTGTGTGCGTGAGCATGTGTGTGGCGTGTGTGTGTTTATGTATATATAAGTGTGCGAGAGAGAGAAAGAGTGTGTGTCTGAGTGTATGTAAGAGAATTTGAGAGCGAGTGAGAGAGAAAGAGAGGGAGAGGCTGAAAGGAGGGGGCAGAGGAGGGAGGAACAGATAGACGGAGAGGTAAAAAGGGGAGGTGAGAGACAGAGGAGCGCAGGCAGCAGCGGGATGAACGCTAAGATGGAGAGAGCATGAGAGTGCGAGCGAGAGGAATGACTCTTTCCATGCTCGGGATAGGGCTCTTTAAGACTCAAGGGCTTGATGAATATGGAACAGCTGCTGTTGGCTGGCTCCGAGGGGCAGGACTTAAAGCGACAGAGGGGCCGGCGAAGCTCCGGGGAGGAGGGATCCGAACGATCACTCGCTCACCCATACAACAACACGGCTCACACGCATGTAGACAAAACACCGAATTGCGTGGGCAACGGAGATGCAGCAAAAAGGGTTCTGTTTTAATCTGAAACATAGAAAAAGTCTGATCCTCAAGGCTGTGAACTATGAGTCAAACACAGATGCAGGTGATTTTAAAACAGACAGTGGAAATACTTTCTCATCTTTTTCTTATTTCACCATAGTGTCTTTTTATGCGTCCAGATACTTGAAGATTTTACAGATTTTTGTAGATTCAATAACTCGCAGAAACAGTCTTGCACAGAGTTCAAGGACTAATTCAAATTCACATTCCTGGTGCTGATTCCGATTTAAATCAACTGTTTTTTTGTTGTTGTTTTTTTTACTCTTTCCAAGAATGAAAAGCAAAAAAGGGAGAAAATGTGATGCAGGTTTGATACAACATTCAAATAGTTAAACAACAAAACTGCCCATAGATCAGCTTTTAAAGATTACAAAAGAATCTGAGTGCTTGGAAGGAAACTATTAGATAAAAATAAAAGATTCAATGTACAGTTGCTGCAGAAGGGACTGCGTCATGAGCAGAGCGAGATCTGTCAAATATTCAAGTCTAAAACCGGAAGCCATGTTTGCTCAAGTGTCTGTTTCACCTCTAAATATGCTTCAACAAAAATGGAGAAATGCACCAATCAGGCTTTTCCCAAGCAGATACTAATTTCTGGTCTTGCTGATTCAGATTTAGCCTTTGTGCCAACTTAACAAATCACTTTTAAAAATAACAAAATGTTTTTAGGCCTAAGTAAAATAAGAAGGCAAATAGATTAAACACTTCATAAGACTAAGTAATAATTTATAGTACTGTAAATCCAGATGAAAAGACATCATGAAGCCAGCTAAGAACTTGTAAATAACGTTGTATGTCCAAACTTAGAAGTAAAAAATAAATTACAAAAAAACAAGTTTACTTCAACTCTAAATGTTATTGTTTTACAAAAAGAAGTGAACCAGGGTTTTATTAGTCTTTTCGAAGCTAAGTTTCTTTAATGTCTGACCAATTTAGAATTTTATTTGTCTAATGACTATGACACATAGAAGAAAACATGTCCTGCTGGTTGTTTGATAGAGGGAGTATCCAACAGAAAAACAGGACATTGGAAAAATATTCCCACTTACGCATCAAAGCCTATTTCCACATTATTTATTAGATTTTTATTCAACTTAGCAAAAATTGCATCAAAGTGCATGTTGTTGATTGATGCATTTATTGACCTCTTTCTCTGATTTTTTTTTTCTTTAGTGAATAAAAAGGAAAATTGAGCATCCGCTCACTTGGTGCATCTCTAAATAAAATCAAGTCTGACACCAGCTGAGGTTTCTGAAAGGTCCAGAGAGAAGATCGGTTGACTTTACCTGCTACAAAGCTCAAGAACAAATCCCAGTAAATGTTTTACTGAACCATGTGCTTTAGCTGTATTTTTGGGTGTTGCATGTGAGGGAACCATTGTAAAGCTTTCCCCACCTGTGAGATATGATCTCAGGCCATAAGTCATACTCTTGGAAGCCGGATCGGCCTCCAAAGGAGCGGAAAATCCAGCTCTGTCTACTCTAACCCCAGCTTTAGAAGCGCCTGTGTTTCTGTGTTGATCAAGCTCAGTAAGAATGCAGAGAATGCAGATAGCATTTCACAGTCAGCGAGGGTCTCCGTGTTACTGTATCCCCACATTATAGGAACAGAGCTTACCATGGCATCCTGACACTCGACTGAGTCCGGCCAAAGGAAAACAGCAGACTGCCCTCTTCTCAGAAACTCACGAGGTGTTCAGACGGCGCTGCCCGGCCTCTACGGCAAAGGTACAAGAGAGCAAGGAAGAGCCACTCTCTAGGAGATTCATGAAAAAAAAAAAAAACAGTGTGTGGCATCGCTCTGCTACTGTTCAGTTTTCTCTCCTGAACAGGAACAGAATAAAACCCCTGGAGGGGAATCCAGTTCCATTCATCGGCTCACGTTTCCATAATCGATGCAAAAACATCACGCAGTCCCTATTGATCATCACAGGCCTACTGATGTGCAGCAGCACAGCCTCCACGCTGACACAGATCATGCAGCAGCTGCTCTCTTTTTGCCACTAAATTAAGGAAAATTCTATTGAGATTCATATGGAGTCAGTCACATTTTTCTCAGATTACAAAGTGTTTCATAAGTACAGAAAACTGGACATGTTTATGGGCTTAGCTCTGCAAAAGAATGACTTCAGAATCCAAAAAATCATGAAGCGCAATGCTTTTAAAGTAGAATGTTAGGACACCAATATATCTGAGAGACTAGTTGGTTTCTATGCAACTTTTACCTTCCTACTGGCAGCTAATTTCAGTTACTAAAAATTTTCTGTAGCTTTTAAACGACTTCATGCTTTGTAAGGCATTAGATCCCTGCTGTGGTTGTCGTTGCCCCCCACATTATTTATTTATTTACATATATGTAAAATCACCGTGTGACAGCTGATTTTACAGCATCGGGTCAGATACAAATAAAGAATAGCTCTGCAGCACCTTAAACTCTGGCATCAAAAAAACAATGCCAAGATCTAAAATTTAGTTGTTTTCTTTTCTTTGCTGTTTTTCACGTTTTTAATGAGTTTTTGTCTGCAATTTTCTATTAGAACTCCTGAAGCATTATAATCAAGAGTCAGAACTCCCACAATACCAGTCAATAGGTGCAACAACAAATAACATATACTTTGATGCACCACTCTTAAGTTTAATAATAATAATAATAATAATAATAATAATAATAATAATAATAATAAAAGATAAAGGAAGGGAACATGTGCTTTTATGCATAACTCGGAATGATCCTGTATTTCCTTCCTTTGCTCTTGAAATAAAACTAATTCCATCCAGGCATCTGCAGAACTTTTTTTTTCTTTGTATTTTATGTAGGATCAGC